TCTCACACACACACACACACACACACACACACACACACACACACACACTCTCTCTCTCTCTCTCTCTCTCTCTCTCTCTCTCTATATATTATATTATATATATATATATATATATATATATATATATAATACCTTTATCTCTCTCCCACTCCCTCTTCCCCCTTTCTCTCTTACTGTACACGAAAGCGCAGAGATAACAGGTTTGTGCGTGCTTGGCATCAAATATATGTGTTAAAGAAAGCATGATTTGCAAATTAGAGATACTAGTAGCATTTCCTGGCGTTTCAAAAGCGCATGATTAGTGCAATCCCGAACAAGAGAGAGAGAGAGAGAGAGAGAGAGAGAGAGAGAGAGAGAGAGAGAGAGAGAGAGAGAGAGAGAGAGAGAGGGAGAGAGAGAGAGAGAGAGAGAGAGAGAGAGAGAGAGAGAGAGACAGATAGATAGATAGATAAACAGATACATACGTAGGTGGATAGACATAAAATTCTGACTAACATTACCACCGGATAGCAAATTGAGAGCATGTTCTATAAACTTGAAAGTGGTAGAAAACGACCATAAAATCATTAAAACAGTTTTCCACCATCTCAGTGCACGTTTTATTATCTACAGCAATTACTCTAGACAGAAATACAACAGATTGAAAGTTTTTGGTTACATATCGTTGCATTTTGTACATACACAGAGGTATAGATTGAACACTATCTATTTTCTTTCCTTACTGACAGATTACAGGAAGGTATAATTCCTTACCAACAGTATTTTCTTTATCTATGCTATATACCACAGATATCTGACATCATCTAATACTCTTTTATTTCAATAAAAATGATACATCATTGACCATACCTCTCCTACCTACAATATTTCCTTTATCTAATCCTCACCCAAATGTACAAATATTATATTTCGTATCTATTTTCTTTAATTGTTTTGATTTCCATTAATTTTCGGGTGGTCGAGACCGTCATGAACGCACCAAGGAGCCGGCGTGGTCCACTAACCCGAATTATACCAGGTTTGTGTTTCCCGCCGAATTATATGAGATTTGGGGCCTCGTTGGTTCCCCGAGTGTCGTTCAGTTAGTCAGTCGTTCAGTCGTTCAGTAGTTCTGTCGTTTAGTTATTCGGTCGTTCAGTCATTCAATCGTTTAGCCGTTCAGTCGTTCAGTCGTTTAGCCGTTCAGTTAGTCAGTCGTTCAGTAGTTCTGTCGTTTAGTCATTTAGTCATTCAATCGTTCAGTCATTCAATCGTTTAGCCGTTCAGTCATTCAGTCGTTTAGCCGTTCAGTCATTCAGTCGTTCAGCCGTTCAGTCATTCAGTCGTTCAGTCATTATTTTTTTTAGCCGTTCAGTCATTCAGTCGTCTAGCCGTTCAATCGTGTGGATTTTCGTTATTCGGTCAAAGGGTAAGTGTAATTGAGGTCGGGTTGTAGCCAAGGGGGATTGTAATGTTATCGACAGTGTTATTTGTCTTTATTAAATGTTTTTATTGATGCTTGTATTTACTTTTTTCATTTTTCATTTTTATGTGGAACTGTACTTATGAACATTTATCAATGCTGTTGATTTTTTTTTCTTCAATATATGAGAAAATGCACTCCGATTCCAAAAGTACGTTTGGGTGCGTAAGTTCGAGAGGAAAAAATGAGTTATGTCATCACTCCGGTACCTTGACTGTCCACTTTCACATGAGGCGCTCATCTGAGAACCGGATCCAGGACAAAGTAAGCCTTCAGTGGGAGTTCAGATTCGCATGTTTCAAGAGCAGTTTCTGTATCCTTCGTGAAACTGAAATGATTTACCAAATGCAACATGAGAAATGGACGTCCGCCTCCAGATTTCTGTCTCGAAAGCTGAGACCGTTTTTCTGACTGGCTCCATGTAGCTGCCTTGTCATTCTCGGTCATATATTGTAAAAGATATATGTAAGCACGTTCTACCCTCGATTGGTTTTATGCCTGAGTCTGGGGGAGTGTCCGAACACCTGTCGTCACGGCGTTCTCTCTCCCGGGCGTCCGCGGAGTCACTTTCACAGGCGATACTTCACTTGCTCACCGCCTTGCACGGCTCCCACGCTCTCAGCTCGGTTCTGCGGTCACTTCCACGCCCGTTGCATGCGCTGGCGTGATCCCCACCTTCTTCCGCGTACTAGAGGTATCGCCTGCCTTCTTTAATCTCGTTTTTCCTTTCGTGGTTCGTGTGGATAGCGAAGTGGGTCATCCACCTCTTACGCTGCGAGAGGGAGAGGGAATCCCGACGACCCGAACCGCGCTCCTCGAAGGTCACGGCCGTCGAGTCCTTTCTTGAGGGGATTCTCGGAACGCGAAGTACTTGGCGGAGGAAGAGGGCGCTCCTTAGCAGAGGCTGTGAACTGCCTTGCTCTGACGGGATTTTTTACTTTCTTGTGTGCCTCTTTTCCTTTTTTTTTCATTTTTATCTTATTTCATTTCTTGTTCTTCTACTCTCTCTTTCGTCTTAGTTATCATTCTCCTCTTATT